CTCTAACGAGGGGGGGCTGGTTTGGCCCTGCAGAAGTGCTGATGCCCACCTAGTAAATCTTTAATTGGCACTGGAAGGGAACTGGGAGCTCACCAGTACAGAGAACACCATAAATATTTAATTTGGGCACTGATTGCACAAACAAGGTTGAGGGGAAGGAGGGAGAAGACAGATAAAAGTGGCACCTATAGAGCATTAAATCCAGAGAAAGTCATCAAGTAGATAAATAAAATATCCTGCAAAGGCAGGAGAAAGTGCTTCTTCCAGGCAGCTGGGGAAGGCACCAGCCTTCTGCCCTGGCATCCGAGTGCCCAGGGCTGCACTTGGACTCCTGTGAGCAGAAAAAATGGGAAACCCCAAAACTGAGTTGTAGGTGGGGGTTCAGCTCAGCACCCCGGGGGGAAAGCCCCTCCCAGAGCCAAGTGGGGCTCTGAAGGCAGGAGAGGGGGAGCAGGGCTGTGCCCATCCCTCCAAGGACAGGGGGAGCTCCCCAAGCTTCCCAGCTCCCCAGAGGCATCCCTGGTTTGGGATAAAACCCAAAGCACAGCTGGGGAGCCAGCAGGACTCCGAGCAAGGCAACTTCCCTGCCCAGGCACTCATTGCTCTCCTGGGTATTGATTTTAGGCAGAACATGGATTTCCAGGCAGCCCAACAAGAGCTGCCACTTGTAAAGCTGCTCTCGAGCTCTGCAGACATTTCCCTGGCATTTACAGCATCCCCCTAAATCACTAGGCCAATAACAACCCTGCCTGATCCCACCTCAGGGGGGTGTGGGGCTGTGCAGGGCAGTGCCAGCCCTGGTGGGCACCAGGGCCCAGCTCCTCCCTCGGGGGCAGCACTGGGGGTTCATTAAACGGAGCTGCAGAGGCAGAGCCTGCTCTGGCTTTCCAGGAGCAAAAGGGTTTCTGGAAAGATCTAAGAGCCTCCCCCACTGCCCAGAGTGGGGGCTCAGCCCAGGTCCTTCCAATCCCCCCCATTCCGAGCAGCCCCTGGGATGAGGGGCCAGTTCCCACCCGTGGGGGGGCTCAGGTTAAGGAGGTTTCAGCTGCTCCAAGAACAGGACGCCAGGAAAGGGTCCAGAGGCCCAGGATTGCTGGGGCAGGGCCAGGAACTCCCCTGCAGGACTGGCAGGACAGGGTGGGAACGGTGCTGGGGGCAATCCTGGGCTCCAACCAGCCCTAAAGCTGCTTTGGGAACACGGGCAGGGACCGGGCTGGGGCAGCACCAGGAACAGAAGCAGCTCTGCCCACAGGGATCCCTGCCAGGGATGGGGAACCAGCTCTGGCTCTCCCACAGGTGGAGTTTTGCTGTTTTCCTACAAAGCCATCAAGATGCTTTTCCTTCTGGAGCAGCATCTCCCCCTTGGCTGGGGTGAATCCCTGCTGGGGCCTGAGAGCCTGAGTACCCACAGCCTGCTGGTCCCCACACAGGGGGGGACAAGGAAAACCAAGCCCCAGCCACGGGATTGTCCCTCAGTGCCTTTTCCTGGTGGGTCTGTGCAGCCTGGAGGGAGGGAGGGCTGCAGGGAGCTGCCAGCACGGGCTCCGTGCCATGCACAGCCAGTGGGTGCCATCTAGTGAACTCCTGCCTCCTCCAGGGCTGCTGCCATCCTGCTCCAGGAAATAACGTTAGAACAGCTGGAAAAGGGGTAAAAAAACCTCCTGGCACTGCCACAGGACAGCCATGTGGTGGTTGCCCTCCTGGGAAACTGGGAACGGGCTGAAAAACAACCCAGCAAGGGCTGTGCCAGGCTGGCCCAGGGGGGGAATCCAGAGCTGCTGCTGTTCCTGCTGGATTTTGCACACACACAGAAGTTGGTGCAAGGCAGACACACCCCAGGAAGGACAGTCCCCCCTCCCTGGAGAGGACACACAGGAGGATCCCAGGCTGCTCCACCAGGAACTGGCCTTTCCTGAAGGGTTTCCCCCGGAACGCAGAACAAATGAAAACTAAACCCGTGGGATCGTAGAATGAGCTCCATTTAATTAAATTCATCTTCTGCAGGACATAAAAAAATAAGGGTCAATTCTGTGGTACAGGCCTCAGTTAAATAGTGCAAACACACAGGTGATGTTCAGCAAGAGCTTCTGCTCGTCCCTGCAGCGGCTGCTGGGGGCACAGTGGGACGAGGGGGGTTTCTTTAACAAGGAAAACGTGCCTGGGAACACCAGGCTGAAGGGAAGGGAGATGGGGAGATCCAGGAAGGCATCACTCTTCCCAGAAGAGCCAGACTTTACCTTTGCCCGAGGCACAACGTGCTCCTGCTGCCTTCGTGGATCTCCTGCTGCTGCTCAGCCGTGGTTGCGTCTTCCAGGAGTTGGAGACTCCCCGAATCATTGCTGGGTTCAAGGAGCTGCATCTTCCTGAAGCACCTGCTCAGGTGACAGGGGAAGGGTGTCCCCACAGAGGTGTGGGCAGCAAGAGCACCTGGTTGGGGTAAAATAACACAGAAACAGGACTGCAGCCACCACAGCTGCCCGTATCCATCAGGGAAAGGCGTGGAGGGACCTGCCGGGATGTGGCTCCCAGGCAGCCACAGGCTCAGGCCTGTTCCCAAAGGAGCAGGGAACATTCCAGTCATGGTGCACAGATCATGCAGGAGGATTTGCAGAGGTGAAAAGCTGCTGTCTGCAGGTCAGCTGTGCTCCTGGAGCTGGTGGGTCTCACTCCCGGGGATCCCGACACTGCTCACGGGGGGGGGGGGGCAAAGAGGATTCACAGGACTCGAGGAATTCCTTACGCTGGTTATGGATAAAGGGATGGAGAGCAGTGCCCTGGCTCTTTCTTCACTCATGGAATCTTCCAGAATGGTCAGCCTTCACCAAAGGCCTTTAGTGAGAGCTCTTCTCCTGGAAGGTGGAGCTCGGAACAGGCAGAGCCCCGACGGCGTTGGGGACATTTGGGTTCTGCTCCATTTGCAGTCCTGTTTGTCCCAGTGCCACTTCCCCTCGGCAGGCACAGCTCCTGAGGAGCAGGTCCACTCTGGGCTGGATGCAGAAGGATGGAGCAGGCCCTGGCAAAGCTGGGTTGTGCTTCCCACCACAGCCCTGCTCCAGAATAAACACGGGACACAGGCAGAGGGTCCATAGCCTGGCGACAGGAGCACTGAGGGGCTTCTCCAAAGGACTCCCTTTGTGTAGAGGCTTTGTCTGGGCTGAACTGGCTCGTTAACACCCCTCAGCACAGGAGGGATTTTTGGAGAGCTGAAGGAAAGGCCGATGTGCCGCCAACAAGTCACTGAGTAAGTGAGAAGAGGCGCTTCAGCTGGAAACATTCTCGGGAGTAAACAGGCTGGGTTGACCTCTGGCTGTCAAGACACAGGGTTTACAAACACATTTTCACACTGCAGAGCACGAGAAGGTGCTGGAACCACACACTTGGGAGCTTCAGAGTTTCCATACTGTGCTTAAATATCCAACAGTCAGAAATCCGGTGCCAAAACTTCTGTAAAGGAAACCTGACCTACAGCACCGGCAGCAGGTTCCTGTGATCATCAAACAATGGCACCGAGATAAAAACAAAAACACAACAGTAAAACAGACAAAACTTTTTAGTTTGGGTATTAAAAGGTACTTGTGCCCACAACTGGTGTGCTCAAGGGTGCATGAAGGGCTAGCAAGGACCTCTTCTCTCTTATTGCACTTCAAAACCACCGGAGAGGGAGGAACTGCTGGGAGACACCAACGGGGTTCAGAGAGCCAGCCCTCTGCAAGGAGAGCATTCCTGACTCCACCTGAGTTCCCCTGGGAAAGGGAATTCCCAGCACCCCACCTGCACTGCCACAAGTGGCACCACAGCTCCGAGCTCCTTCTTCACCCCCCCAAAACCGGCACAGGAGCACGGAGGGTTTCACTCACAGGCCGTGGCAGAAGGGCTCTTGGTGCACTGCTGCTTATTGAAATTTAAATTAAAGCAATAAACCATTGTTTTCCTCTCCTCCTGCTCCCCACTCTTCCAAGCCCCAACCTGGGCAAGTCACAGCTCCACAAGTGGATTTGCACTGCAATAGCTTATTCTTCTAGGACAGGGAAATCTCAGAACTTGGATCGTGGACATGGAATAGCTGAGTTAAAAGCAAGCAAGGAGTTGGCAAATGCACGCTGTAAACACCGTGGGTACACTGGACAACAAATCAGAGAGACAGGAAAGCTTTACACTGAAAATACCCCCCAGATTTACCCCAAACTGCCCCACTAAAACCCCATTTCATCGGGGAAGAGCACGTGGATCTCAGCGGGATTTTGGGAGGGATGTTCAGCTTAAAACTCTCTTGACTTTTTGTTTTCAGCGTGGCCAGAGGTGGGTGATTCAGTCCAAGTGCTCTGAGCAAAACATGGGAGTTTTCAGAAGCAACTGTGGCAAAGGGGAATTCACAGTATTTCAAAAGTGCCGCTAAGTACCACAATGCATCCTGCTGAGCCCTGGGAAGGGGAAAAACCCACCTGGAAAGGGGAAAAATACCTGGAAAGGGGAAAAAACCCACATGGAAAGGGGAAAAATACCTGGAAAGGGGAGAATACCCACCTGGAAAGGGGAAAATACCCACCTGGAAAGGGGAAAATACCCACCTGGAAAGGGGAAAAAACCCACCTGGAAAGGGGAAAAAACCCACCTGGAAAGGGGAAAAAACCCACCTGGAAAGGGAAAAAATACCCACATGGAAAAGGAGAAAAAACCCACTTGAAAAGGGAGGAAAAAAACCCCAAACACTTGGAAAGGGGAAAAAACCCACATAGAAAGGGGAAAATACCCACATGGAAAAGGGAGGAAAAAAACCCCAAACACTTGGAAAGGGGAAAAAACCCACATGGAAAAGGAGAAAAGACCCAGTTGCAAAGGAAAAAAAACATCTGGAAAGGGGAAAAAACCCACCTGAAAAGGGGAAAAAAAACCCCACCTGAAGTGGGGAAAAATACCCACATGGAAAAGGAAAAAAACCCACTTGCGAAGGGGAAAAAACCCACCTGGAAAGGGGAAAAAAACCCACTTGCAAAGGGGGAAAAACCCACTTGGGAAAGGGGAGAAAAAAGCACTTTAAAAGGGGAATAACCCACTTGGAAAGGGAAGAAACTGCTTCATGTAACTGCCTGGGTAAAGCTGCTGATTCCAGCGTGGGTAAAGTGCATCACCAGCGATTTAAGAGCCCTTTAGTTAAGGGAACAATAAATCACCTTTTCCATGGGGACTGATTCCCATGGATAGTGCACCCATGTGCCAGCACAACTGTCTCTGACAATCCCAGTTACAGCCAGCACGGGAACAATCCCAAAGCTCCAGGGGGATGGGAAGTTTGGGGAGTTTTGGCAGTGATTTGCAGCGATTTTGTAGCACCTACTCTGGGGTTTTTGCACAGAAACACCAGCTCTGGTGTCAGGGTTTGCTGGAACCTTCTGCTGGGCAGGTTTGGGGGCTCCCACTGCCCCCCCTGGACCTGCTGGGGCTGGACCAGCACGTGGAGAGTGGGAAAACAAGGAGGAAGAGCCTAAGGAAGCACCAGGGAGTGAGCAGGAACTTCTCTTGCTGTGTTTCCACGAGCACTCCCTGGGTTAGAGAGGGAATTAGAGGTGACAACAAACAGGGCTTGTTCTACACTGCACTGAGCTTGAATTGCTGGAGAGCTGAAAGGTGAAGGTTCTGTTGGTCCTCCAAAAAAGCCTGGAAAACAGGGAAGCTGAGGGAATCGAGCACAATCTTGGATGTCACCACAGGAAAGGGTGAGATTTTTTTAAACTGAGTTTTAACTAAGTTTTGGCAGCCAGCAGTGACCATGCACAGCTCTGAAGGACAGAGCTGGAGTGTTAAATCACAGGGAGGGGGCAAAAAAAGAGCCCCCTTTAATTAATTAAATAATTTTTAAATTAAAACCCTGACACCCAGCACAGCCCCCAGAGTGCAACTGGTGCTTTAGAGGAGTCGTTTTTTCCCCTCAAAGGCTCGTGTCCTGTCTTTAAAGCCACACTGCACTCAAAACTGAGTATATTCTGGGCAGGCTGATGAGATGAGGCAGGTGGAAGGTGCACTGGGAACATCCCAAAACAGGCACAGAGCCGTTGGAATCGAATCCAGCTGGCAGAGCAGAGGCTGAGCTAATGCTGGACAGGCTTCAAAGCTATGTAAGGTGACAGAAAATGTATTTAAATGAAAAAATCAATATAAATTAAATGAGCCAATAAGAAAGCAAAATGTATCCCTATATTCTCTCTGTGACCTGAGCTAGTTATGGATTAAGAGTTTGGGAGGATTTGTTTCCTGTCTGGGATCAAGAGGACCTTCACCTTGCCTAAAAATCCTACCTTAAAAATCAACCAAAAAAATCAGACACAGGGTTATTTTCCTTTGCACTGCCCTCAGGAGAGCTGGTCCTTGGAGAAAAGGCTCATCTAAGCTGCCACCACCTCGGAATCCCACCCTTCCCACCCCTCAATATTCATCTCTATTTCTATCTCAGATCACACCCCCCTCAGAAGGCATTGATTGCACAGCTCTGACTTAACTGGAGAACAACACTCCAGAAGTTACAACTCTTCCCAAACCTTGTTTTCTCCAAGGACCAGCTGTCAGGACAGAGAATCCCAGGGACACCCCTGAGCTGAAAGGGGAAGATTTTGGCCGATTCCAGGCTGGGGCATCGACCCCAGCGTGTCCCTCCCTGTTCCCTGCAGGCTTTCATTTCCAGGGGCATGGAAAGGTGGATGCTGCAGAGGTTCCTCAGCCTGCTGGGGCAGACTGGAATCTTAATTCTCTTTGGCTTTCGTTGGCTGAGATCTGAAACCGGGGCGCTTAAGTGCAAGAAACCTGCTGGCTCCTTTTTGGAGGAGAAAGGCCTGGAGCGGCCCAACTACCCCATGAAGATCCTGATGACCATCTCGATCTCCTTCCTGCACACTGGGCAGGGGGATCTCCTTTTCTTCAGCATCTTTGCACACCTGAAACAGGCCACGAGGTGGGCAGTCCTGCCGTGGACGATGTTCCCGTCGCGGGGCCTGAGCTGGCACAGGCAGCAGGGGCTCAGCAGCGTTTTTATACTCTCCAGAGACTCGATTTCTTCCTCCTTTTTACTCTCAGCCAAGCTCAGCAGAGACTCTTTGCTCTCATGAGCCCGTGCCAGGTCCAGGGACTCGATGGAGCCGCAGGGGGGGGGTTTGGGTTCCACCCCGAACATGCGGGTGGGCGGCCCAGCCGGGGCCGACATGGTCCTTTTGCAGTCTGGGACATCTATCCCCTCGTCCTCCTCTTCCTCCTCCTTGTTTTTCATGGCAGCAATGCTGGACAGGGAGAGGGAGTGGGCCAGTTTGGGCCAGTCTGAGTACCAGCCCTTGCGCAGGGCCCAGCAGCGGTAGCAGTACCGTTTGCCCGGGGAGTTGAACTTCTTGCATTTGGTGCATTGCCAGCAGCCCTGGGGGAATGGGAGGCCAAAAACCAGCAGTGAGTGAGGGGGTTCTTGTGCACGTTTCCTCTATGTAGGAAAAGCAGCAAAGAAGCCTCATGAAAAAAAAAAAAAAAGGGATTTATGCCCGATTTCTAAGCCTGTGGTTTGATTCTCAGCACCTCAGAAAGCCTAACGAGGACTCGACTCCCCCCTGTGTGTTCTACAGGTGCAGATCTCAAACATTAATTCCTGCCCTCCCTCCCTCCCAGCCTTCAGCACTCTGCAAGAATCCAATGTTCTCTGCTGGGCAGTTTATTGGATTTTCAGTCTCTCGCTCTGAATTCCAGGGTAGAGCTCCTGGAATCAGTCAGGAATACACTTCCCAGGCTCACTAATCGCTTGGCATCTGTTGGATCTGCACAATTAATAGAGGTTTGCTTGATTACCCCACCCAGCAAGGCCCAAGCTCAGAGCCATGACTCAGCTGTCCAGGGACGGCCCCATTTATTCCAGCACAGGCTAGAAAATGATGCTAAAATCGGGGTTTTTTTGGTGTTATCAGCTGCAAAGAGTCTCAGGATGCACTTCTGCTGCCTCAGAACAAACCTCCGAGGCAGCCTCAGGACTGGGAGAAGGACAGCTCAAGGAACAGAGATTTGATGTCTCTCAGGACCCACCATGAGGGATTTTTGGAGGAGTGGGGGAGTGGGGAGAGGTGACAGCTCAGTAATTGCTGCTTGTTCTCTTTCCACCTCGTTTTGTCATTTGAGCAGGGGAAAAGCTGTGGGGTGTCCTCTGAGAGGCACTGCAAGGGCACAGGCACCAGCCCAGACACTGCACCCTCCTCACCAGAGCCAGGGGACAATGGCAGGACAAGGGGCTGGAATGAGCCAGGGATTCTCTTCCCATCCCAGGGAACACAAAACGAGGGGCAGCAACAGGGCTGGACCCCCAGGACTCAGGGGATCCCTGATCCTGACACAGAAATTCCCACAACAAGGGGATTTGGGGTGTGAGGCACTGGAGTGATTACAAAGTGCTCACTTGAGACTTCCAGATCTCTGCCCAGGACCATCCTCCAGATGTCCTTCCAGAGGACAACATGGAATAAACCTGATTAAAACCTGCATGGAGATCATACTAACTTCATCCAGCCACTTTTTACGGCCTGGAAACCTTTACAGGAATCAGCTCCTCCTGCCACAACCAGCAGTAGGTGTGGGATGAGCTGTCCCTGCTCCAGCAGGGAATGTTGTCCTGGGGGATCACCCACCTCGGAAGCACCTTCTGTGTCCGTGTCATCACTTAAGCACTGAGAGTCCTCCAAGTCATTCAGACACACCTGCTCAGTCACCTGGGAAGAGTGGAAATGTTGCAATAATCGCCATTTATCACGTGCCTGGCACCTCACACCCAAATTAAACGACTGGATAATCACCATGCTAATCAAAGCTACTTCTGTAAGTGAATGAAAAGCCATTTTTGCAGTGTTTTTATTCCAGAATGTTGATACTGTTGCTGGATTGGCTTGGTCCTACTTGACTGTGGTCAATGTAAACTGACATTTTCCTCTCTGAGTCTTTTCATTTACCTTTGACAGCTGGAACTGAGGACCTTTGAAGTCTTTTCCAACCTTAATTCTACGATTCTGTGATTTATTATTCTTGAAGGTATCTAGACAGACATCTAGTAAAGTTGCTGCTGGAGGTTGGATTCATTTTAAATTAATTTTATGCCTCGAAAACACACATTTAACCCAAAGGCTGAGCTGGAAAGGCATCACCCACGTAAGGAATGCTGACAGCCTTCTCTAAACACAGTTTAACCTCTGGATGGTTCCAATACCAGCACAGCACCATGGCATCAGTTAAAGCTTGGAAAGAGGTACCTTTGTGTCACCTTCTTTCACTTCCTCACAGTCCAACACGTTCACCTTGAGCCCAGCACTGCCCTGGTCCAAGGGGCACTCGTTGAGGAACCACAGGTCGTCAGTAGTATCCGAAACAATGGCAGTGTCAATGTCCTGAGGGAAAAGGAGCAGGGAAAACCCCTCAGAGCTCAGCTCAGGAGCAGCAGGAGCTCCAGCTCCGCAACCATCGCTCTCCCCTTCTCCTCAGCCACAACCTCCTGAGCCCTGGGCAGCTGTGCCAGGGGAGAACAGGGCACCTGGCTGCTCTCACACCCCCCTTCTTCCATCTGCCAGCTCACAGACACCCCTTTCCCGACTTCCAACTCTGTGCTCCTTGCCCTCCTGCCTGGCCACCACCCTACAACCCAAAAGGGCAACTCCTGGAGTGCAGAGGGACCTCCCAGGGCCTTCGGGGAGAGTCTGGGTTATTCAAAAAGCACTAAAGGTAACCAACCACCTGGTGTGAAAGGCTGGGACAGGAACACACAAGGGAGAGGCTGAAAATCCTGGAGTGGGAAGGGGAAAGAAAGAACAAGAATATTTTATTGCCTTGGAACCCAAAAGAGGAGAGGAGGAGGACACAGTGCACCTGTTCCAAATGTCTACACACCTGGTTAGTCTGAATATCTGTTGATCCATTACTTCTGGACTCGTAATTGCTTCTGAGGTTGCCTAAAAACCACCATGGAAGACCAGCTACATCCCATTCCTCAAACACTAGGTCCAGCTTAGGCTTCTTGCTTTTAGAGAGGTTTTCTATTAAGTCTTTGTCTGTAAGAGCCAAGTAGAGTCTAAGTCATGCCACACCTACATTTGTTAAGAGACCAGCAGAGAAAAACATGGCCCCATCTGATTCCAGAAACCTTTCCTGCTCCTTCTCACCCCAGTTCCTGCTGAGAGCTCTGGGGTTTGTCTGCTCCTGGCAAAACAGTCCCTGCACTGAGGGACTGAGGTCAGGGAACATCCCAGTGATCCCAGTGCCTCTACACTGGTACAGGTTGGTTTTTATCCCAGGATCAGAGAAACACAAACACTTCTTTCTGAGCCCTTCCCAAGTCACCACTAAGCAGAGTTCCTGAGTGATTCAGGATGCAGAAAGAACTGGTTTGACTTCAGATTCCAACGCTGGGAGCTCCTGAATTCGCAAGCCAGGCTCACACAGGAAGCAGGAAGGTAAGAATCCACACTCCCCATGCTTCAGCCTCTTTCTTAGCCTGTGCAGTTTAGTCTGTGATCCCAAACTCAGCATAAGTTTCAAGATAACCTTGAAACTCTCTCCCTTCCCGAGTTTCAAAGGCACAGACAAGGCTGTTTCTCCCTCTTTTGTGCATACAGGAAATATGATTTGATCTGGAAATACCCACACTCACAAAGACCTGCTTTTACAAATTAGGTTCCTTGATATGAAAACAACCTGAGAATAGAAAGCAGAAAAATCAGCAAAATTGCTTCCCTAACATCTGAAATCCAAATGAGTGACCCAGTGAGAAATCCCCAGACATTCCACCAGAGGAAATGTCTAAATATGAAGGAGCTGTCTTACACTTGTGCTGGATACAAAAAAAACCCCATTGTTGCTCAGTTCCCTGATTGGTTTGCAGGTAATGACTGCAGACAGTGCAGTCTGGGCTCTGTGTGATCAGGAGAGTCCCTTGGGAAGATAAATAGATACAAGTGTAATTTCAGCACTTAAAATACCCTTCAGCAAGGTCTGTAAGATTTTCTGTGGCATTGTTCAGTGATAGATGTGCTTTAGGGGTTTAACCTGCCATCTCCTTCAAAGCACTTGTTTGCTTATGAGACCAAACAGCCCAGCCAGAAAACACATCTCTCACACAATACCTTGGGTCAACATTTGTGTTCTCTCAAGCTTCAGCATAAACTGATGGGGTTTAATGATTGTGCTCCAAACCAGGGGGTTACTGGTGTCCCAAAATCCTCCTCCAGTGTTTGCTGATGCAGAGGAGGAGCAGAAGGGCTGGTGCACGTTGTGTTGGTGCAGGAGAGCCAGGACTCACCTTCACAAGTGTCACAGTTCTGCTCCGAGGTAGACAAAGCAGAGGCCTTGCTCTCCTCCCCCTCCGTGGTCCCAGCATCAGAACCTTCTTCCTGGCTAAACTGCAGGAAGGAAAATCCAGGTGTTAGTCCACCAGAGCTTATAGGGACAAGGGGATGTAGCACTTCCATTCCGAGTCACCAGCTGCAGGACAAGACCAAGCAGTTATGAGGAGGAATAAAAGTTTCTGAGCAAAACCTACACACTATTTACCCTCGACAAAGCCTAAGGCACCTGTCATCAGCACAAACACGTACTTCCAACCTAGGAAAAATCTTTAGCTTGGCAGAAGTCCCAAGGCTGCCATCATTCATGCAGTAAAACTGTGGTATTTGTGACTCTCTCACCCCCAGTGCGAACAGACACCTCCCAGATCAGGCTGCCTTCCCCCCAAAGCACACCTGGAGACGAGTTTGAAGGCGCCAAGATTTTTCCTAGGTTTCCAATTCTGCCTGAAAGCTCGAAAAACAATCCTAACTAAACACAAAACACTTGGTCACACGTTTTAGAAAGCTTAGTTATTTGGCAATTCCTACTCAGGGAGGGGATGGGAGAGAGGGGGAAAGACATGAAAAGGCAGAGCACGCTGGAGGAACTGAGGACTAGAAGTGCTACACCCCAGAGAAACGCGCTCAGAGACTGGAACTCTGTTATGAGGAGAACAGAGAAGGGTCACTCTGTCCCTGCCTGTGGACTCCAAGAACTTTTCAGGAAGGTGAGGACCTGGCAGCCAAGCAGCACAAAGTTCTGGCAGTCCACCATGCACAGGTACAGAGAAGGGGCACTCTGTACAACAAAAGAAACCACTCGGCAGTGGGTTTACCTTCAGCTGGTCTTGGCTTGGCTTATCGACGCTCTGCTCCTTTGGGAGAGTCTGTGCAGCATCTAGATGGCAGGTAAAACAAGAGAAAAAACCTTCCCCAGTAATAACCATTCTCACAACACAAGAGGGGCTTCACAAGCAACCAACGAGCCAGGCTTGGCAGACCTCTGAGAAACCCTTCAGGAACAATGTGGAGGCAGCAGCCCATGGAACACAGGCTGTGCCTCCCTGGAGGAGAGGAAAACTCACAGCAGGGAAGAATCCTCTTCCCAAAGGAAAAAACTGCTCCTTTTCCTCCAGGTTGCCCTGCCATGACAAGCTCCAGGGACAAGACACAAGGTCTGCCAAAGGCAGGAACCCAGAGTGTGGGGAATCCCACCTGGATCAGATCCAGGGGGATCTGAAGAAGGGGAATGGGGAAGGGCAAGATTTTTATAACTACCTGAGGATTCCATCTCAGGCTGAGGCAGGAAAAACACCTTTTTAAAGGGTCTGGGCATGAAGAACAAAGACTAGACTAAAGAAGGGAAAATTCCATGCACAGCCAGCTCTTTCCTGGGCAGCTGTGGACACGTCCCTAACACAATTTAATCCAGATGATTCTGCTGGCCCCAAGAGTTAATTAAAAGACCAAGCTAAAGAGCAAGAACAATCCAATTAACAGAACTTTCTATATAATAGGAGGTGCACTCAGGAAGCCTGTCCTTCAGACAGAATGGCTGGCTGGAGAACAAAAGATCCAAGGATGGCTCCTGCTTGCTCCCCTTTCAGTTTAGCAGAGACATTCCCTGCAGAGTGCCAGGCACACAGGATGAGTCTGATTCACACCATGAATCACTGCACTGATAGGAAGACACTCAAAACTGTTGCTACAGGCAAAAATTAGACCACAAAGTGGCCATCAAATGGAGCAAAACCCAGGACAGGATGACACGGCTCCTGTCCCTTATTGCTTTAGTTCACCTTTCCCTTCCTGCTGCCATCACCCTTCAGCTCCTGCAGCCACTGATTATTTACTACCTGGAGGAAAACAGAAGCCAAGTGGCTCATCCATCACTGCTTTGGCTCTGCAGGGACACTGGAATGGACGAAGACTCGCCCTTCTAACACTTTATAAATTTTCACTGTGTGAAAACGCTGCACTGACTGGAAGGCTCCCTTTTTGGAGCCAACATATCCCACACAAAATGTCCCTGAAGTGAGGGATTCCTAAATACACCTCGTGGGAGTCACTCCTGGGGGAGAGCTGGCCAAGGAAGGGGGAAGGAGCTGGCCAAGGAAAGGAGAAAGCTGGCCAAGGAAGGTGTTAGATCAGATGGTGGTCTGATGAAGAGCCCTATGTAAGAGCTCATTCCTCATTCTCAAGATGTGCTGCAGCCACTTCTCCTTCTCCAAGTGCACTTAAAAATGGTCAAATAACCTGCAAAACGATGAGCTGAGAAGCCCTGATTTGGCCAATGAACACGAGCAGCTACTGCAGAACACGAAACATGAAGAATTCTTAAGTCCTGAGGCACCTCTAGTTACTCCTGTGTTGGGATGAAGGAAAAGCAACACCTGGAGTGACCCTCCCTAGGGATCTGTCCGAGGTCTGGTCTGCCAAGCTTGTTTCGTTTTAGTCACACACACCCAGGACTAACTGAGGATTCCCTCTGGCAGGTTTAAGGTCACACCAGGACTGCACCACACACACACACACCCAGGACTAACTGAGGATTCCCTCTGGCAGGTTTAAGGTCACACCAGGACTGCACCACACACACACAGCCAGGCCCAGAGCAAGGAGAGGGGACAGGGCAGCAGAGCAGAGTGTTTGCTGGGATCCTCTGCTCTCCACACAAACTGCTTTAGGGAAGAGTCAGCACATCACCAGTGAGGGAAGCAGCACTCACACGGTTATTCTACAGGTTTAGGAGAGTCCACTCAAGAAGATCCTTCTTTATAATTAAAGCAGGGGGACCTCAGAGGCACCAGCATGGCTCAAAGCAGAGGACTAAGCACTTCAGGGTCATGTTTTTTCAGTTTCTAAATCTGCACAAGCTTTTTATGCACTTGTGCAAAAATAGCCTGAGCCTTTGTAAAGAACTAAGTCCATATTATCTGCTTAGAGCACCCAGGAAATATGGCACAAGACTCCACAGTTCTCCCAGTTGATTTTTTCCAATGGAGATTACCAGCCCCACAATGGGAGCTGGCTGCAAGGAAGCCATCAGCCAGGATTAATTTAAGAATAAATTTTCATTTATGACTGAAGGGCTTTTGATGGAGCTAGATTTGATTTCTCTTATGAGCTGGGAAAGCAACAGTGACCTTTAAAGGTTCAAGTGTCTGATTAAAGTCCAGACCTCTGGCTTGCAGAGCTCGCTGGGTTTCTGGTGTTGTTATGGATTATGAAAGTATAAAATGAGGTGAGAACGAGAAGCTGCAGCTCTGAAACTGAAAAATACTGAGAAAATCAATATTGATTTGGATGGGACACTTCAGCCACGGTGATTTGTTTATCCACAGCATTTAGCTCTCTGAAATTTGGCCATTTGAGGCAGCCACATCACTCAGCCAGCTCCCTGCTCTGGTATCACAGCTACTGACACACAGAAAAGACACATACTCGGAGAGATCGTCTCAAAACCTTCACAGCAGTTTATTCCAACTTGACAAACATTTCTGTGTCTGGTTTTTTGTTACTTACCAGGTTATACCAACACTACATTGAAAGGCCCTGCCCGGACTGTGACCAACCTACCTGTGAGTGCAGCCGCCGTCAGGTTCCGTTTCAACATGTCATACAGGGGGCTGTGGGAGGGAGGGACAGTCAGTGTTCCCACAGAAACCACCAGCACCCTCCCAGACAGGGCCAGGAATTCCCTTTCCTTATCCAGAGGGACACTGGAAACCACGGGGGGGGGGTTTGTCTCCTCACTGATTGTTACAAAGCTCAGCTCAGGACTCAAGGCAGATGCGGATTTTTGCTCCAGTGAGATCAGGGGTTTGAGGAGATGCAGAAATAAGAGGGGGAGAGATGTCACCTCGAGCAGCTCAGTGCCTGGGCCATTCCCTGGCTCCTCAGAACAAGGAGCTCAGCTCCCCCTTGTCACACCCATCACCAACAGGGAGGTTTAAGTGACAGTGACACCAAGAGCTCCTGTCTCAGCAACCCCTGTCAGACAACCCGGGTTCAAGGTGACTCTTTTCCTACCTTGGATCTTTTACAGAGAAGCTCTCCAGGCCCAGCAGCTCTCCCAGCTCATCTCCTCCACAATAGACCATGTGCTGCTGCCTTTTGTCATAGAGCTGCCTCACCATGATGTACTGGCCCAGGTAATGCATCACCTGTGGGGACAGAACACACCCTCAGCCCCACCTGCAGCCTAAACCAAACCCCCAAAACCCCTGGGAACTGACCTGAATTCACAGTGTTTGCCTCCTGCTGCCCTGTACAGTGTGAGTCAAATCACACCTCTTGTGCCTCCCAGCCAAGGGAGAGTTGGGATTTATGGCATTGCTGTGAGGTTTGTAACTATTAACCCTGGACAAGGAGGAAAACTGAGGCAAAGATGGACAAACAGCACCATCCCAGTTAAAGGAACAAGCTGTTCCTAAAGGCTGCTCACACATTTACAGTGCTGCCCCTCAGGACACAGCTTGCCAGGTGTAAAATGAATCCCATTAGTATCACAAAGGATGGAGAGGAGACACCCTCCAGCTACAATCCAAAGTACTGGAACTCCTCTGGAATTTCCCAAGGGGAAAGCAAAGTGCTTGAAGCACAATACAGGCGAGTTCCACCCCCCATCACCCACCAAAGTGACCCTGAAGGGTCTCCAAAAAGTTGCCAGCAGTGCTCTGCTCACTGCAGAAAACCCAGCTGAGTTAAAGTGTGAATCCCTACAGGTAACCTGCACTTAAAACTCAGCTCTGCCCATTTAAACCATCCAATTTAGGGTTTTTTGCACAAATTTTTAGAAGCTAAATAAGTTATTTAAATGCATAAGTGTTAAATTAAGTCACAGGGCTCTGCAGGAAGATTTGACACATGCAATAAAAAACCACTGCATTTAATTCTTTGTAGGCAGGATCTTCTTGTAAATCACACTGTCATTTTTTTAATCGTGTACATATATTGCATTTTAATCTTAAAATAAATGAATACACAGGGTCTCTTAGGTTAAGCTGACAAGCCATTTCAAGGGAAAGTTAAAAAACATCAACTGGAATCCAATTTTTAAGGCTTTGGTACATTGAGCAGAGGGTAGCACAATGGAACAGAATCTCCTACACTCTCTCAGGAATGTGATTATCCCATCTTTCCTTTCTCTACAGAGGTTTCTGATTTTCAGTGATAAATAATATTTCACACTCTTACTCCAACTCCTCCAGGGGCATTATGATCAATCAAGCCAGAACAGTCCTACAGGTTAAGTATCCTCATTTTGCAGGCAGGGGTTCAAAGTACAGAAAAATTAAGAGCCAGTCCTATCCCAACTCCCAAAAAAGCAGGACCAGGCACAGCCTGGAATGTGAGCCCACCTCCTTGAGAGTGAAAGTGTCTCCTTGGGCTCCTGCTGCCTGCAGAATCCTCAGGAGTGGCAGTCTGGGTCTCACCTGGAACACAGAGCAGGGTTTTGTTGGAATGACAGGAAGCAGAGCCCTGCTGAGAGAAATCCCACCCCTCTGGCACAGCCATCCAGCAAGAGAAAAGAAAACAGCCCAGGAATGCAGGTAGGCAGCTCTAAAGGCTCTAATCCCACCAATGGTCCTATGAACTCCTATGAACCTCCCTCCTGGGAGGGCAGGCTGTAAACTCAGAGCCCTGGAATGGAGGCCTGGGCAGTGATTCCATGGCCACTGTGCCTGGATTTCCCCAGTACTGCTGGGAACACATCAGTTCTGCCCTGCCCAGGCCAAGGATCTCTCCAGGTCTTCCCCCATGAACAGGCACAGAACAAGAGCAGTGCATTAAACACGAGGTGTTGGTAATTAACACCAAGGCTCCCGTGCCTCAAAGCTGCTCTGGGGGTGTGGGGGAACCTCCAGGGGCTGTGCAGCACCTGTACCATACCCAGGGTGCTTTTTATCTTATATAATCAAGATTTCATCAGGAACTGCAGTCACAGGACAAGGGGGAATTTAGGAGATACACAGAAGAAATTCCCCCCTGTGAGGGTGGGGAGGCCCTGGCACAGGGTGCCCAGAGAAGCTGTGGCTGCCCCAGCCCTGGAAGTGTCCAAGGCCAGGCTGGATAAACTTGGAGCAACCTGGGGCAGTGGAAGGTGTCCCTGCCCATGGCAGGGGGTGGCACTGGGTGAGCTTTAATGTCCCTCCCAACCCAAACCAGTCTGGGATCTTTTTAAGAGGCCAACTGCACTGCAGCACCTTTTTCCTACAAAAGGAGAGCAGGTTTGGCTGCTTGTCACAGATGTCATTTGTCACTCAGCTCCCAGGCAGCACCTTGGCAAGGTGTTTATTCCTCTGTTTTCTAAAACTGTGAAAAATTCCCCTCCTCTGTGGACCTGTCTGCTCTGTTTTCTCATTATGGTGTTTCTAAAATGCATTTTCCAGCTCAAACACAACAACTCGTGTCCAGCCTCAAGCCTCTTCCTCAAAAACCAGCTTCTGCAGTAGGAAAAAGCTCAGCACAGCTCCAGTAAGTGCTTGTATCAGCACATGGCTTTTAATAAGATGAAATTATGTGTTTGTTCAGTCATTTCTCTAATGACCACTCTCGAATGGGTTTTGAAGGAACTTCTCAGAAGTCTCTTTCTGATGAAAGAAGCAACCCAGTCAGCTGGATCATTCTAAAATGGGCCCTCAGCTCCCCCAGTCCTGATGGAAGTGTTTGTTCCACCCTGCCCGGGACATGAGTGTTGACAATCAATATTTTGTCACTATTATCAGAGCCTATTTACTTTTTTTGTTTTTTTCCCCATGCAGAGCAAATTGAATAAATAAGCATTGACATCAGTTCTGCACAGGGCTTGGCTCCAGTTCAAAGCTTCTAAATAAAGCCTCAAATGGGAAATGCTCAACTTCCCATCAGTTTATTTCCACTCCCACCACATTCCCTGACATCAGGGGGATGGGTTTTTTTACAAGGAATTGGCTCTGGAAGGTTGGATGCCTGGCTTGGAGGAGACTTCCTGATTTTTTTAACACCAGATTTCTGCTGTTGTTGGCAAACCTCTCTTCTCTGAGTGGCTGGTACTGAGCCACACTCCAAACACACACTTGCCACGTTGGCCTTGGCTTGCACCCACAAATACCTTTTGTTCCAGGAACAGGTGATAACAGGAGTACTCCATGTCCAAAGCCACCTAAACAGACTCCAAAAAGGCCTGGGGATGAATTACTAGGCAAAGTTTAACACAAGGTTACAAAGCTCCAATACAGCTGTCCCAGAGTGCAGCTCCAGGAGGAATGCTGGACATGGAATATTCTAAGGTTCAGCACAAAAATAGGTACTGTATTATTTTTCTATCTCCAGTTTTCCCTTCCTTCCCCTTTAAATAATGTTCACAAACCACTGAGAGTTCATAAATGATCTGAGAGTGAAAGATAACACAACTCCTTAGGATGAAAGCCCTGCTCCATTAGGGTAAATTCTCCTTACTTAAAGGTACTTGGAGAGCTTGGATTTAATGGAAGAAATCACTGCTCTGAGGGGAAAACAGCAGAGATAAGTGGGAGAAATAACAGCAAATTACCTGGTGAGCTTGTCCCAGAGTGATCCTGCAGGTGTTCTCAGCTGCTGGGTGCTGGGCAGGGCTGGGGGAGCTCATGGTGGCAGTGAGCAGCTGGTAACAGCACCTAAAATTGAGAAAGGTCAGGCTGAGAAACCTGGGCTGGAGTTTAACCACTTCCACCTCCTCAGAAGCTTCAGGAAACCGAGGTTTAAAATTAGCCCTGCAGGCACATCTCAAACCATGCTGTGCAATGCTGGTGGTCCCGTGCCCTGCCTGCTTTGTCCTGCCAGAGGGGGGTTAGGTTAGATATGAAGACAAATCTGTGGTGGGAAGGGTTATAAAACACTGGCCCAGCTGCCCAGGGCAGGGGTGGGATCACCACCCCTGGAAGTGTTCAAAAAATGTGTGGATGTGGCACCTGAGGGCGTGGCTGGTGATGACCATGGTGGTGGTGCTGGGTTGATGGTGGACTTATTGATGCTGAAGTCTTTTCCAGCCTCAGTGATTCCATGATTCTGAGCTGGATCCAGCAAACAGCCACGGGACAACTGGGACACTGGTGCTGTGGCTGCCCCATCCCTGGAAGTGCCCAAGGCCAGGCTGGATGGGGCTTGGAGAGAGCTGGGCTAGTGGGAGGTGTCCCTGCCCATGGAAGGAAGTGGGACTGGATGAGCTTTAAGGTTCCAAGCCAAAGCAGTCTGGGATTCTGAGCCTCTGCAGGAGTGACACACCACGGTGAGGAACTTGGGGACCTGCCAGTGCCCAGGAGGGATCAGCAAACTCTGGTGAAACCCCTGAGTCAGAGGTGGGGAATGAGGAGCTGAGTCACAACCAGCCAGCAGGGAAAGCCCAGGACAGCCAGGCCTGACTCCCAAAGGAGCAGCAGCCAGAGCTGATGGCCATCACTAGCACATTCCCACCTCCTTTGACTTCCAAGAGATGAAAATCTGCTAAAGCTGCTGCAGCCCCCACCCCACCTGATAAATGAACAGTTTCTGGGTGAGCAGGTGACAATCCTTTCCTGGAAGGGAACAAAAGGGGAAGTCCTGCAGCTATTTGAATTGGTCTCAGTTTCAGAATCCACCCAAAGAGCAGCAGTGACTCATGTTCCCAGCACAATCCACTTTCCTCTGCCCCACACAACAGGTTTGAAATCTTTGAAGAGAAGGGATGGTCTAACTCAACTCCTCACTGGAAAAAAGCACCTTGAACTTGATGGAGAAAAACAGGAATCCTTGATTTTACTCTCAGCACTAAAGCTCAGACCAATAAACCAGTAAATGATGTGTCCCTGGACCTAGTTACAGTAAAATCTCAATTTTAACATGAATCTGGTCACGGGCAATACTGAAACAAGTCCTGCAACTGCCTTTTTGGTAAAATCAAGGCTAAAGCGTGAGATGAATTACCAAGAGTGGCTCCTCAATTTGCCTGGGTAACTGCAACTTTGGGAATGTTTTTACTGAACTTTTAGTCCATGCAGTAGTTTAATTATTTCAATCTTAATGATAATTATTTCAATTTCACTTCTAAATCCAAAACATTGGATTTGAAAGTGTGAAGCCCCAAACTTTCAAAGCAATATGTGAATTGTCTTTCATGGAATTTTCCAGCTCCAGTAAATGAATTTGTTACTACACCCAGTTATCAGAGCCAGCATGATCAGCTTGAATATCAGCAGAATTCCCAGAGTCCTGCCTGAGGAATGCAGCCAAAGGTCTCAGCTGCAGACAAAACAGGCTCAAGGTGGCTCAGTAATGACAAAAATCTGAGCTTTAGCACCAAGTCAAGCTCCTGGCACTGTAACTGTTCAGTCTCTGCCCATCTATTAAAAAGGACTTTTAATGACTTTATTAGAGGCTTCTGATGGTTTTTATGGCATTACAGTCCTCTGAAGTGAGGCACTGTCAGGAATAAAATCATCCCCAGGGATCAAACATATCTCTAAATACTCGGGAAGGGCTGATTAAAGCACATTAAACACTCAGGTTTGCAAATAACAGTGGTAGTAACTCAAACTCCAAACTCCAAATACATCTTGAAGCACTTCCACCTCATCACACCCCTCGATTTTACGGCAGATCTCTGGCTGATAACACCAACCACGAGCTGCCCACCTTAAGCTTGAACTAACCCGCAGCCCGACTTACCGACCGTCGCTGCTGGAGGGGTATCCCGGGGCTATTATCCCTGGATTCCTGTCCCGGGCGGCCCCGGGAAGGCTCTGGGCTTCCCGCCGATGCTCCGGGCTCTGAGTGGCCCTTTCAAAGGGCGCCGGGCGGGGCGGGGAGCCCCGAGAACTGCCGGGCTGGGGAAAGGGCCCGGGGGGACTAAAGGTGCATTTCCTGAGCCCGCATTCCAGGAAAAGGACCCCGGGCTGAGGCATCAACGAGCCACGGCTTTAACTGTTTCCGCGCTGATTTCATCAGCGCTATCGGGCTCAGCCTCCGGTTTTACAGACAAAGAGTTTCGGTGAGTTTGAGCCTCAGTGATGGAGTTTTCTTTAATCAGAGCTCAATCTCGGGGCTCCCGAGTGCCGCCTTCCCAAGCTCTAAAAACCACGTCCAGGCTCCCACAAAACCTACGGACGCAGCCACCAGGCACAGAAAACCTCCCACCAGGCACAGAAAACCTCCCACCAGGCACAGAAAACCTCCCACCAGGCACAGAAAACCTCCCACCAGGCACAGAAAACCTCCCTCGGTTCCACCCTGTGCACGTTCCTAAAGGAAGGAGAAGCTCAGTGAGCCCAGTTTAACCCTCCCCTACTGCTCTACTTCTAAATATCCGACGTTTTACCTCCCAGCGCTGTGCCTGGACCAACTTGCAGCCAAGGGAATGAAGCACCAGTGGACTTAGGGCTGTTTGGAGCCACGGAAAATGCCACTGGACCGGAGCAACGTCTGAGGAATCCATGAATCACAGAGGAGTCATGAATAATCGAATTTTCCACTCGAAAACTTGACACAGACCACAGGAACAAGACGTCTGCCTGTGCTGGGAGTAGAACTTCCTTCTCAGGAGACCAAAACCTCACCAGAGCACAGCTTTTGGTGCTCGAGAATAAAGATCTTACCGGACTCAGAGAGTGCAAGCACAGCCTGGAAAGTTAAGTTAAAACTTCTAATTCAAGCTCAGGTTTGGTTTTAGAGTCTCATTTCCAGGAAAGGACAGTTTTTAACTTGTGTGTGAAGTGGAAACACAGCAGGGAGTGTAAAGCAGACATTGTGGGCTCTCTAATGGTTCGTTGTGATAGTGAGTTCAGGTGTGACACCCCAGCAACAGCCATTTTCAAGCTTTCTAACAAAGCAAAATATTGAAAATAACTTGTAATTCTATGTAGAGCATCATACAGAGCAGCCCTGGAGGGGAGGCCCTAAACAGGCACTAATTTGATAATTAAGTCAGGGATAATTCTGTTTGTCCCTATCAGTCCCTGGGAGTTTTCATGCCTAGAAGTCCTCCTGTGACAAACACCCGACCCCTCCCTGGGAACCACCCCCAGCTCCCCCACCGTGTTCCCAAGTTCCTCCACGGCCCTTGGAATGCCAGCCAGGGAATGAGGAGAGCTGCCCTCCTGCTGGGTGGAGGTGAGACCATGGAATCATGGAATGGTTGGGTGGGAAGGGACCTTAAAGCCCAGCCCATCCCACTCCCTGCCACGGGCAGGGACACCTTCCACTGTCCCAGGTCGCTCCAAGCCCCGTCCAACCCAGCCTTGGACACTTCCAGGGATGAGGCATCCTCTGGGAAATCCATCCCAGTCTCTCCCAGGGAGGAATTCTTTCCCAATATCCCATCCAACCCCCCCTCTGGCAGTGTAAACCCATTCCCCCTTGTCCTGTCACTCCAGGCCCTTGGAATTAGTCTCTCTTCATCCTTTCCCGTTGACCCCTTCAGGCCGCAATCAGCTCACCCAGGAGCCTCCCTTTTGGAGGTTGAACAATCCCAATTCCCACCCTTTCCCTCGCAGGAGATAAGATTTATCGCCGCTCCCACCGCCCCAGGCCCCTCCCGCCGGCACCGCCTCCTGCCCCCCCCTTCCCACCGCCCCCTCAGCCCTGCGCTCCCCGGGACCCCCGGCTCCCCCCCGGCCCCGGGCTCACCCTACAACCGCTCCATGGGCCCCGGGCAGGGGGTCGAGGGGTGGGGGGACGGGACCCCTAAACCCCCCGAGGGCTCCGCGCCTCCATCTTGGCGGGGTCCGGGCCGCCGCTTCCCCTCGCGGCCAACATGGCGGCGAGGCCACCGAGCGGCGCGGGGCGCGCGGCCAGAGGGGATGCGGGGACGCCGCGGGGGACGTGGCGCCCCCCAGCGGCTTGGAGGACCCGAGCGGAGCGTCCCCTCAGCCCAGCTGGAAAATGTAAAACGATAATAAAAATAAAATAGTTAATAATAATAATAATAAAAATTAATAATTATTACAAGTAATTATAAATAAATATATATCGTATTTATACGTGCATATATTTAATATATTACCTATTATTTGTAATAGATAATATATATTATGATGCATAATATATATTATGATGTGTAATATGTAATATATATTATACATAATGTATAAGTAAATTAGAAATTATAAATACTATTAAACATAAATAAAAAAATCAAGATTGTCTCAAGTCAAGGTGTTCTTTGACGTAAGATCTATGTGTACTTTCAAGCCTCGGTGGCACAGGCAGCAGTTCCATCCCTGGCTCAAGGACGTCCTGGAATTAACAAGCCTTAGGGATGCAGTAAATCAAAATGTCGATGTGCGTCTGTGCAGACATTGCTGACTTGGCAAAATACTCGAAGTTCCTGTGCCCTAGAGCTGAACTGTCTTCGTTATAACCGTTACATGGCCCCCCCCTGCATTATAAACCCCACCTGGACACAATAAATCCCACCTGGACACAATAAATCCCACCTGGACATTATAAACCCCACCTGGACATTATAACACCCAATAAACTTCATTATAAACCCCACCTGGACACGTCCCTGTGTCACCTGCTCCAGCTGACCCTGCCTTGGCAGGGGGGTTGGAATCGGTCTCCAGAGCTCCTTTCCAACCCCAACCATTGTGTGACAACACTGAAAAATCCCACCTAGGGGTCAAGAAGCCCCTGTCCCTGCACAGCCCCTTCCCCTGACAAGGGGTCCTGTAACCTGGGTGGAAATTCAGAAACAGCCCCAATTAACTCTGTGCTTGGGAAGTGCCTGAACTGCTGCGTGTAAAGAACGAAGTGCGGGAGGGGTTGTTCTGGGTCTGGCGGACACTGGGAACGGATCCCACGCCGTGGGGCTGTCCCTGCCCTACACATCGGCAGGGCTGGCCCTGTGTTGTCGCTGATAAGCGCTGTCCCTGAGCTGCGGACTAGAGCCCGGATAGCTCAGTCGGTAGAGCATCAGACTTTTAATCTGAGGGTCCAGGGTTCAAGTCCCTGTTCGGGCGGTTTCAGTTTTTCCCTTCTACGTTGGTTATTTTTTTTTTTTTGCTCCCTGCCCGGATTCTCCCGGGGCACCGGAACCCTGGGCGGGGAAGCGCCGGCGGTGCTGCGGGTGTAAAAAAGGCTTTAGAGGGGGAAAAAAATAATTCGGAGGAGGAAAAAAAAAAATCGAGCGCCCGAACAGGGACTTGAACCCTGGACCCTCAGATTAAAAGTCTGATGCTCTACCGACTGAGCTATCCGGGCTCTGGCGTTCGGGTGTGCGCTGCTGGTTGATCCCGCTGTCCATGGGCTGAGCTGCTGCCTGTACTTCTGCCTAATCCCCCCCGTGCCCTTCTGCCTGTACCCCCCTGCCTGAACCTCCTCTGTTTTAACCCCTGCCTGCACTCTCTGCCTGCACCCTCCTTCCTGCTCTCCTTACCTGAACTCCATCTGCCTGAACCACCCTGCCTGGACCCTGCTGCCTAACCCCCCCCTGCCTACACCCCACAGCCTGCAACACCCTTCTCTACCCCCCCTCCTGCACCCCCTGCCTGCACACCCTGCCTGTCCCCCCTCTCCTGCCCGCTCCCCCCAGCCCCAGGAACACTTGCCATGGTTATGGTACAGCTCAGACACAAAGAACAGGCTCATCCTGCCCCTCGTTCTGCCTGTGGGATGTGTAGGAAGAGGGGGGTCCTCACATGGGATGTGTAGGAAGAGGGGGGTCCTCACATGGGATGTGTAGGAAGAGGGGGGTCCTCACTGACAGCCTTGGGAAGGGGGGTCACCCTGGCCCCTCAACCCACAGCAAAATTGGGTGTGCTGGGGGGGAAAGCTGGGAGGGCTCAAAGGGGGTCAGGCCGAGTGGGAAGAGAAGGACAGGGAATAATCCCAGGTCAGGGGATGAGCTGTTGTCCCAGGACACGGGGTGCTGGGGAGGTTTGGTTTTTGGGATTCCTCCAGCCGAGCCGCAGCTCATCCCGACACTGCAGGTGACAATTCCCATCAGAAGTGGGTACAGTGGGATTTTTCAGTTGGACATGAGGCTGGCTGAGGCCACTTTTCTCTTAAGGCCTGGTGGGAAATGGGGTCACACTGAGGGACCCCAAAATCCCAGCATCCTCTTACATGGTGTGATGAATCCTGCAAAACCTCCCATCTCCTGGGGAGCCTTCAGGGAGGCTGGGATAATACCCAGGGATATATAATACAGGGATAATCTCTGTGGCCACTAAACCCAAACCACAGCTGTGACCCACAGCCCTCTCAGCCCTCTCCAGCAGCGCTGGGATTCCGGAGGTGACCGTTATCCCTGTCTGCCAGAGCCAGGGAAAACAGATCCCAGCCAGCGCTGCCGTGGCTCTGGCACATCTGCTGCCCACACCGGGGGTCCTCCTGTGCCCCCCCAAGCCCGGGGGTCTGGATGCTGTGGCAGGAGTGTGTCCCCACCGACCCTGGGGGGCTCTGGGGACCAGCACGAGCCCCCCGGTCCCAGTGGGTGCTGTGGGGTGTCCCAGCACCCCCCTGCAGCTCCCCAGAGGAGGGGTGGCACCCCCGTGGGGAGCAGGGGAGGTGGGTGCTGATGGGGATGCCCCCGGGGTTGGGGGAGGTGGAGGGGGCCAGGGCAAAGCAGCAGGGGGGGGTTCATCGCCCACCCACCGTCCCGCGGTGGGGATGATGCGGGACGTGGGGGTGATGCGGGGTGGGGACACGCGGGGGGAGCGTCCCCGGGGCTCCGTGGGCGGAGCTGGAAGAGTCCCAGGGAAAATGCAGGGGGAAAAACGAGGGATACAGGGGCAGAACCCTCGGAGCTCCGCCAGGGGAGGCTGGGAGCGTCCCGGAGATATGCGGGGGAAACCGGAGAGCACCGGGGGGGGCGAGGTGGGGGGGATATGCGGGTATCATTTGGGGGGCTCCGCGGGGAGAACCAGGAGCATCCCAGAGCCATGCAGGGGGACACCGAGGGACACCGGGGCGGCGGTGCGGGGGCGGCATCCCGGGGACAAGCGGGGGGCTCTGCCCGCGGCGCTGTGCAATGCGGGGAGCGGCCGGGAGATGGCCCCGCACCGCCCCGCGCTGCGCCCGCCATTGTCCGCCTTCTCCGCCGCCGCGGTGCTCCCGCCTCCCCACGGCTCCTCCCGCATCTCCCCCGGCTCCTCCCGCATCCCTCCGGCTCCTCCCGCATCCCCCGGCCCCCGCCCGGCGCCGCCGCCGCAGCCGCTCGGAGCAGGTAGGGCCGCATCGGGGAGCGGGGGGACCGCGGGGAGCGGGGGGGGCTCCGGCCCCGGGAGCGGCTCGGCTCGTCTCCTTAAAAAAAAAAAAAAAAAAAGAGAATTTTTCATGTATGCGTTTATCTATATTAATAATTTCTCCTCCCGGAGGAGATGCGGGTCCCGCTCGCCGCTGCGAGGCGTTCCCGGCGCTTCCCAAAATCTCCGGCTCATCCTTGTGCTGCTCCAGCGCTGGGAACCCCAAAAGCCCCGCGGCGGCGGCGTGGGGGGGGACCCGAGGCTGCCCCCCTTCCCCCCGGGCACGGTGCAGGGTCGGGGATCTTGGAATGCCCCCTCGGGCCGCAGGGAGAGGAAAGTTGGGGTGTTTGTATGAACGGGACAGTTAAATGGTCCCCGAGAAATCGCAAAGTTGGTCAGCGGCAAAGAGGAGAGGGAGGGTGGGGGTCCCGTCCCCTCCCGGCGTGGCAGAGTCCCCCCCCCCGGCACAAGGATGGGGACAGACATGGAAAAGGCATGGAGACAGGGATGGGGAAGGGATGGGGGTCATGGAATCCTGGAATGGTTTGGGTCGTGAGGGACCTTAAAG